CTTCCCAGACTCCAGTGAGTTCCCTGAGTTTGACAGACAGATTCATTCAAGCATGGACACAAGAAATGGCAGAGTGCAAGACACTGGGTATCTGTTTCTAAAAATGAGTATGGAACCTGGTTCATTCTTTACATTCAACTTCTTCAAGGTAATTTTTGATTAAATGAGGAATGTCAATATTAAGAAGCAATGTTTTATTTCCTAAGTCTGGTCCTTAAGTCAAAGTGCTCTAATTAGATCAATTTTAGCCATTCATTACATTAATCAGTATTTATTAAGGTTTTCTTTCCTTTCTTTTTTTTTTAGACAGGGTCCTGCTCTGTCAACTAGGCCAGAGTGCAGTGGCATCATCATTGCTCATTGCAGCCTTGATCTTCTGAGCTCAAGTAATGCTCGCACCTCGGCCTCCTGGGCAGCTGTGACCACAAGCGTGCACCACCATGTCTGGCTAATTTTTTTATTTTTTATTTTTGTAGAGATGAGGTCTTGCTACGATGCCCAGGTTGGTCTTCTGGGCTCAAGCGATCCTCATGCCTTACTGAATTTCCAATATGGGCCGGGTAACCATGTTCACAGTGGTAAACAAAAAAGGACACGGTCTCTGCTCTCTGAAAGTAAATACCTTGGCATTTGAGACAGAATGAAGGGGTACATAAACACACTTTAGCTAGTGGTAAGTGTAACAGTGAAAATCAGAGAGTAATTGAAGGGATGTGGGGTCAGAAAAGGCATCACTGTGGGGCTGACATGTGAATTGAGAAGAAAGAAAAATATCTAAGACAATAACAATCTTGGCAGAGAAAACAACAGGTGCAAAGGCCCAGAGGCCGGAAAAAGCTTGGCATGCTTGAGCAACAAAGCGGACATTGTAGCTGGAATTTAGGGAACAAGATGGGGAGTCTTAGAAAATGGTGTCAGCAGGTGGATAAGGTCTTCATGTAGCACATCTTTAAAACTTCACCTTTCTTTTCTCTTTTTCTCAGTTAAGTAAATACATGGAATATCTCGCCTTTTCAGCAAATTTCAAGATAGGAAACTGAGGAGAATGCCATTATTTTGGCTACTTCAGAGTCTAAATAGCTTCTAATTTGCTGATAATAGTTTTAACTTGCTGTCCTCCAGTTGAGGAGATACAGTGTAACAGGGAGCATACAGCCAAAATCTGAGACATCTGTAAGCAAGCAGTCAGGAGTAGCTTGACTATACATCCAAGAGTATAGTCTTCATAACTTTGCTTTAACTGTGAACTGCTTCTGTTAATTTTTTACTAACGGTTGAACTGCAAGTTGTTTATTTATAAATTTGTGTCATTTATTAGAATGAGATGTGCTCTATTCTGTTTAGGAGTGCCAATGGGGGTGCCGATAAGTGCTTGAATTCCATTTTCAGAGGTCATTGACTATCAAAATGATCAAGCTAACTGGATTTCACTGTAGTTGAAAATGTAAATTGTTGGATTCTGTCATTGTTATTTTTTAACTATGATAAATATGATAAGTTAGTTTAAATGCAATAGATCTGGAGTTTCTTCCTTAGAAATTTCAGTCTAAGGAAATTTATCTGTTTATGATTATTGTTCTTACAAATTTATTCTGAAATAATCAGATTTAAAATAAATAAATCTGATATTACAGTGACCTGTTTTTGGTTTTGGTTTTGTTTTTTTGGTTTTTTTTGAGACAGTCTTGCTGTGTCGCTGGCGCTAGAGTGCAGTGGCGTGATTGCAGCTTACGGCAACCTCAACCTCCCAGCTTGAGAGACTCCTCCCACCTCAGCCTCCCAATAGGGGGGACTACAGGCATTTTCCACCATGCCCAGCTAATTTATTTTTGTATTATCTGTAGAGATGGGGTTTTGCCATGTTGCCCAGGCTGGTCTCAAAATCCTGGGCTCAAGTGATTGACCCCCCTCAGCCTCCCAAAGTGCTGGAACTATAGGTGTGAGCCACTGCACCTAGCTGATTTGTTATGTGTTATGTAAGCATTGAAGTTATTTCTTGAGAAATAAGTAGATAACAATTTACACTCTAATAGGTAATGTATTAGGCAAGTTGATACCCATTCATCTGGTTTGGCCCTTGACAGCTAGGCTTTATTGTATGGTTTAAATATATTTGCAGTAGAAGTGAAACTATCATAAAAAATAAATATCTCATGTAAATGAAAAAGTAAATACTATGATCTCTCATGAAAAAGACTATAAAAACGTAGCCTTATCATGAACTCCTGGTGCCTGTACCAGCACAAGACAGCATTAAATGAGCAAGAAGGGGCCCATCAGGCTGGATGACATTCCCCTTATGGCAGGTTCTTGTTGGTGGGCTGACCCACATGGAGTGTAGACCATGAAGTCCCACAAAGCACTGACCTCTATGGACAGGTTAGGAAATTGGAATCCTTGCTTTAGGGAGTGATTCTTTCACGTGTATTTGCTTCTGAAATAGCTATTTCTTACTGACTCCTTATTGTTTGTTGTTTGCATGCATTTTAAAGAGGAAAATGTCTCACCTTAGAGAAACAGAATTGAATACAAAATATCACTGAGATAGCACAAAGTTTAGCACATTGAATATATACTTACATATAATATAAATATAAATTTTTTTTTTTTTTTTTTTGGAGACGGAGTCTCGCTGTGTCTCCCAGGCTGGAGTGCAGTGGCGCGATCTCGGCTCACTGCAAGCTCCGCCTCCCGGGTTCACGCCATTCTCCCGCCTCAGCCTCCCGAGTAGCTGGGACTACAGGCGCCCACCACCACGCCCGGCTAGTTTTTTGTTGTTGTTGTATTTTTAGTAGAGACGGGGTTTCACCATGTTAGCCAGGATAGTCTCGATCTCCTGACCTCGTGATCCACCTGCCTCGGCCTCCCAAAGTGCTGGGATTACAGGCTTGAGCCACCGCTCCCGGCCATAAATATAAATATTATGTAAAGTTTTAATTTTATAGATTAATTTAGTTCAAATAAAAATGAATTGTGACAAAGACAGGATAATGATTCATAGTTCATATTTAAATGATTCAATGTTGAATTCAAGAGGTCTAGATTTTTTACCCTTACCTACCACTTGTTAATTTTGTCCTTGTTTCACCAGCTATAAAATTTGAATAATATAGTGTTAATTATTTAGAAGAGCAAACTGTGGATGTAGATATATGTGTGTAATACACATATATTATAGAATTACATGTATTATATAAGGGGTCCTTGAAGTACTGCAAGCATTAGCACAGTGCTTGGCAAAACATCAGCACTCAACACATATGAATATCATTAACAATCATATTTTCTGCTTTTTGTGCCCCCAAAGAGTAGTTGGACATTTTGCATTCTACCGTTGTAATATCATTCGGGACTAAATCAACTCTAAAAAGTTTTTACATCTATTTATAAACCTAGATCTTCCTTTTTTGAGGGCTGTCATTTTGCCTAGGAGGCCTTCTTTGGCTTGGGTTAGCTATAATTAAGAGGGCAAGAAAATGTTTCCCTTCTGCCATGCCTTTAGAGTATGTGTGGGTGCGAACAATGTGCTCATGTAGCCTAATAGCATAGGAGAGGGAATTGCAGATTCGGTGAACTTGCCTTGCCAAACCCCATAACAGTAGCAGATGGATGAGGTTTAGAGGGTGTTGTGCCCTGTCTCCAGACCCTGCTAACTTTAGCCTGGTTTTTCCAGATTTCAGAGTCTTTGCCTTTATCCAGTTCCCTCCAGGCCCAGGAGGATCTTAAAAGTAAGATAGAGGTTTTCTCATGAACAAGATTGCTTGATGTGTCCCCTAAGAAGCACTCCTCTTTTGTGTAGGCATGTGTAGTATTACTTTGGAAAGTGTTTGTTTCATTCCCATGGCACATTTATACATATGAATCCCTGAAGGCACTATAAAGTATAATATGAATTGCAAGTTCATTTTCTTTTGTCGTGTTTGACTCTTTGGTGCTAAAGATCTTTTGCAAACAAAGAGAAAATAATGGGTAACGCTTTGTGTTCAGAACTAGAACATGAGTCTCCAATGACTTTAATTTTTATGCTTGGGCCAAAAAGTAGAGGATCCTGGCAATTTCAGTCACCATTGTTTGGTCTTCAGTGCTCATACCATTTCCTTAGGTGGTTATCATATTTTAGTTTAGCTCCTACATTTTAAATCAGTAGTAGAGATTCATTTTTAATGCTTGATAAGCAGCCAAGTTTCAGGCTTAATTCACTTAGTCAGTCTTGAGTCATTGCTCTATCCTCACTTTCATAGCAAATATCATCATTGGGACTTATACCGCAATGTTTTCCTTCTGAATAAACAGTTTCACAGCTTAATATAGGTTAGTATTTTCAACATGCTTGATTTTCAAGCATGCTTGAATAAGTTTACATGCTAGAAACTGGCTGGGTACGTGGACTCACACCTGAATCCCAGCAATTTGGGAGGCCAAGAAGGGAGGATCACTTGATGCCAGGAGTTTGAGACCAAGCTTACAAAACATAGTGAGACCCTGTCTCTACAAAAGATTTTAAAAAATTGACCAGGTGTGGTGGTGCACACCTGTAGTCCCATCTACTCAGGAGGCTGAAGCCGGAGGATCTTGTGTGCGCGGGGGCTCGAGGCTGTAGTGAGCCATGATCACACCACTACACTCCAGCCTGCACAATAGAGTGAGACCCTGTCTCTAAAAAAATAAAATAAAATAAATGCTAGAAACTGGTTGAAAGTAACTGAACAGGAGGAACTGAGGATGTGGCACTCATTCTTGGAAATCAGTTGTGGTTAAAGATTAAAACAGACTCTGCTGCTGTCTTTCTTATGTAAACATAAAGTCCAAGGGCCACACATGACATATAAAAAAATCACTTAGCTTCTGTAAAACTTTTTAAAAATTCTTTCTTTAAGTGTTTTCATGATTATATATTGTTTGCAAAGTAAATGAAACAGGTTAACCTCCTGGATGCTTACTTTTAGCAGAAATATATCAGATAGCAAACTTGCTGACAGATGAATCACAGCTTTGCCCACCTGTAATGAGGGTACACTGCTTGATCCCAGGTTGGTCCCAGACTTTCAGGATGGTATTTCTGGCCTCCAGTCCACTTAGGGAATTGATCATTCTGAATACCTCTCTGGGTTTATGTTCTCCACTTCATCTGGCCCTTGATAGGTAAACATCCCCTGCCTGACCAAAAGTAACAAAGCTGAAAAAACTTGGCCAAATCTGGAAACTTGTTAGTCTGCCTCTTCCTGTACCAGAACCACATTCCAGATTGCTTCCCAGGTCTGACTTCAGGCCACTGTTCTTTGCTGGCCTTGACCTCAGTACCTGTCTTATACATGACTTTATGCTTTTCTCCCTCTGCCTCATCCGACCCTCGTTCTTTGTATCCTACCTCTAGTTTTTATCCTTCAGACACTTTTTATTTTTTTCCCTTGTTAGAATATATTTTTAGGTTTTCTCTAGGCCTTGCTTAACAACCTGTCATACTTTCCAGACTCTCATGCTCCATTCCTTCCACTCTTTCCACCTCAATCTATTCTACCTCACCTGAAGACTCTGATAACAAGATCAAGGTCTTCCACCTGAGCCTCATGGGGTTTTGGCCAGCCGACATTCCTCCATCACCTAATGGCCTTAGCTGCCTTGTGTTCTGTCCACCGGGGATGACACTCCTTGCATCCAGTTCTTTGAGAGAAAGAATTCTTACCATAGATTTGTCTTAATTGCTCCCTCAGGTTTCCTTTCTCTGACTCATTTAGCCTTCATTACTTTTTCTCAGCAAATTTTATGTTGGATATACAAAATAACAAAACAGAACATACTTATTTCATTTACAATTTTGGTAAACTTTTATTATGACACCCCATTTTAGCTGTCACTCCCATTATCTTGTTTAATCTGTTAACATGCAATAAAGACAGTAATAAATAGAAGGGAATAAATTTTATGAGCAGAAAGTAATATTTGAGAATTTTCTGTCCATCCTCCATTTAGATAGAGATTTAATAGTTCTCTTAAAGGCATTGTTTGTATGCCCAAATTCTGCTTATAGACCATTGCTAGTCTTTTTTTAAAAAAATCCAGATCTGTGCTTCTGGTGTGTAACCATGAATATAGGTTTGTATATCAAAACAGATAAACAAATATGTGCCTTGTGCTTTATGAGCAAAATCACCCTTGAAAATCCTTTACATTTTGCTCGATACCTCACAGAGTTTGTTCTGTTTTGCTTTTTTATTTGCTTAGGTTTTTAAAATTTAAGTAAATTGCTACAATTTAAAAATCAGAAAGTTTCAACAAAAATACAGATTGCAAGTGCCAAAAAAAATGTTAAGATCTCTCAACAATGCTACCTGCATTTCTTTGCCGCAGCTATGTGCTTGTGCTAAGGAGCAGCTGCCTCTTGACATGGGAATGTGCTTGCTGCTTTGACACAATTCATCACTCACATTAGTTGCCTGGGCTTTCTAGGCATGTGAGTTTGTACTTCTTGTCTTAAAGGAGAAGCATAGCTGGAACCAAAGAGGTAAAGGCATAGACTTCCACCCCGCGATGCTTTTCTTTTAAAAGAACATAAAATAAGCTGCCTACCCTAAAATACAAAGAATAAAATAGCAGTCTTTCATAGTACCACCACCCAGAATAAATCACTACTAATATTTTGGCATATTTATTTCATGATTTTTTCCCCTGACTAATCCCATTTTTGTCCTGCAGAATTTTATTTCTATATGCAGGGGTGAATTTCTTCTCAAGAAGTCTCCCTCATTCTTAAAAATTTGCTACCTTTTTCCTCAAGAGATATAATAATCTCAGTTTTGTAAAGTCCAGTAGTTTTGTGCCTAAGGCATTAGACTTTCCCCAAATCACAGACTCTCATGGTTCCTAGTCAGGCCATTAGGCCCAAGTCAAAAACATGGTTATCAGTTAATTTCATAGTGATTTAAATAGGATAAAGGCACAGCTCTAAATTCTTTAGTAGTTTAGTTTGTAAGTATTCATAAATATGGAGCATTTCAAGCCAGATTCATCTTAGTCCCAACCTTACTTGGTTAGAGAGTTGTCAGACCAACTTCAAGCCAATGGAAGTGAGATGTAAGTATAATCAAGTAAGCATCTGGACCAAAGTTGAGAAATTCAGCTGCTCTTCCTTTGTGGTACCATATCCACAGTCCCAAGTCACCTCTATTGCCCCTAAACCTTTGTACCCAAGAGCCCTCCCCTTAGGAATGAATGTGAATCCATTTGACTTTTGCTCTAACTACTTACATAATTATCAACCTCTGATTTGTAATTGCTGTGCATGTTAGCAATTCTATCTCAGGTGTTTAGGATGCAAATAATTTTTAAAAAATTAGTACTTGGTCTCCTTTGCTTGCTCCCAAAGGAGAATTTAGTACATAGTATGACTGTGACATATGTATATATTAAATTATAAAATATTTTTTCAGTAAGATGAAATATAGAACTCAACACTCTGGTATATAGTTGGTGTTCAACTGATGTCAATTTCTTCCTTTTTAAAAACGTACTATTCTAGCAATATCATGGATTAAATGGGATTCTAATAGCTTCAGTTTTTGTTTTAGTCTAAGTGTTCTAAGTGTGATAAGTCATTATGAAGTTTTGGTTCCTGGGTAGAGGGTAGACTGTAGTGTGAATAATGGCCTCTGGGGATAGTAGAAGCAGAGAAGACAGTTCAGAAGGCTTTGCAGAAGTCCAGGTGAAAGATGCTGCTGATTTGAACTAGGAGATTAGTAGTGGGGAGAAGAGGTTTCAAGGTTGCACTATATTTTGAAGGAAAAGAAAGGAGTCGAGAAAGAGCCCTGGGTTGAATCATTCAAGCTTTGTTGATTTCTTTCCCTCAAGACACCAATTATCCACATTATTTCTACCTTTAAGAAATCACCTTTGTACCGTTTTCCATTATTCAGTGGCTTTCTCATTCCTCCTTTTCTGTCACCACCTACCTGTGGAAGGTTACAGATTATACCTATTCTGTGAACTTCCTAACAGGTTTTGAAATCCCTGTGCTTTCATCAAACTCTCCTGATTAACCAAAGACCAGACTATTTCCACATAGTTTATTCAGTTGGAAGGAAGGGTTTCCATAGCTATTCTGTTCTCAACCCAGTTACATATGTTGCCCCTTGCTGCGGTGCACTTACTTTTTATTTGGACAATTCCTGTTTCCATTCATATATTTGCTCTGCAAGTCTTAATTCAGTGTTTCAATATGCGTGCATTGATATAAGTGTCCATCTTTGATTGTTAGCACGTAGAGGGCAATCGCTGCCTTACTTGTGCAATTAGGTTCTAAATAAATCATTTTTAAGTGATGATAACATTTTGATTCCAATGTACTGGCTGTATTTGATAAGAACTTTAATCACATTTTCACCAGTAATTAGGCTCTTTTCCGCTCACATTTAAAGTAATGGAATGGTATCTTTAGAACATCTGGATTTTTCAGAAGGCAGCCTCTGCTTTCAATTTTCAAGTGTTGGCCTCTTTACCATGTTGAGTTCACAAGTTCTCCATTTATGACAGCATCATGCCTTTGCCATTCTGCCACATGCATCACGTAATTCTTGTTACTGGAAAGCCACTTTTGTGTTTGAAACTATTAGGAAAGGGATGAAAAAATCCCTTATTTTAAGAAAAATTGACGTCTTATGGTAGTAATCTAAAATCTTCATTGACTTGGCTTCCATAATATGTTTTTATAAACCATGTGTAGCAAAAGGAATTAATTTCCTTTGAGTATCACCACATGGACTTTTAGGAACCAAGGATGATTTATTTGCTTTGTGTCTAAGATTAACCAACTTAAGAATGGAAAAATCCTATTAGATCATAAGAGACTGTTCCCTTCCCCACTGCAGGATTATGTGCTACAGTGTATTTCCTAATCTTTGTTCTTTTTAATAACATTCTTCCTGTATTCATTTGAAAGTCATTACTCCAAAATATTTCCATGAAATTATAATATCATGCATGATTTTAGATGGAGATAAATTTTTGATGTTTGTTTTATAATATCCACCAAAGTTTATTTTTAAAAATATTGAGTAATATTTATCTCTTTAAAATGGGGCAGTTATACTAGGCCCTTACAAGTTGAAATAATAGCAATATTTTCTTTTACTTTACTAACTTTATTATTTTTGGATTAGTGATATTTTGCTTGGAACATACTATGAACTGCAGATTATTTCTCAGATATACTTTAGAAAGAAATTAGAATGGGCCTCAAGCCAACAGGCAAGCAGATCAGAGTTTGTTTTCTTTTAATTTTTTTTTTATTTTTAAATTTTTTGGGTACCTAGTAGGTGTATGTATTTATACAGTCATGAGATGTTTTCAGACAGGCATGCAATGTGTCATAATCACATCATGGAAAATGGGGTATTCATTCCCTCAAGGATTTATCCTTCATGTTACAAACAATCCAGTGATATTCTTTAAGTTATTTTAAAGTATACAATTAAATTATTAATGACTATAGTTACCCTGTTTTGCTGTCAAATACTAGGTCTTATTCATTCTAATTTTTTGTACCCATTAACCATCCTTTCCTTTCCGTCCAACCCCCAACTACCCTTCCCCGCCTCTGGTAAACATCCTTCTACTCTCTATGTCCGTGAGTTCAATTGTTTTGATTTTTAGATCCCACAAGTGAGGGAGAACATGTGATCTTTGTCTTTCTGTGCCAGGCTTATTTCACTTAACACAGTGATCTCCAGTTCTATCCTTTTGTTGCAAATTATAGGATCTCATTCTTTTTATAGCTGAATACTACTCCATTGTGTATATGTACCACATTTTCTTTATCCATTCATCTGTTGATGTACACTTAGGTTACTTCCGAATCTTGGCTATTGTGAGTAGTGCTGCAGCAAACATGCGAGTGCAGATATCTCTTCAGTATCCTGATTTCCTTTCTTTTGCGTATATACCCAGCAGCGGGATTGCTGGAACATTTGCTAGCTCTATTTTTAGTTTTTTGAGGAACCTCCAAACTATTCTCTGTAGTGGTTGTACTAATTTACATTCCCAGCAACAATGTCTGAGGGTTTCCTTTTCTCCACATCCTCACCAGCATTTGTTATTGCCTGTCTTTTGGATATAAGCCAGTTTAACTGGGGTGACCTGATATATCACTGTAGTTTTGATTTGCATTTCTCTGGTGATCAGTGATACTGAGCACCTTTTCATATGCCTGTTCACCATTCGTTTGTCTTCTTCAAAATATGTCTATTCAAGTTTTTTGCCAATATTTTAATAGGATTATTATATTTTTTTATAGAGAATTGTGTGAACTCCTTATATATTCTGGTTATTAATCCCTTATCAGATGGGTAATTTTCTTCCATTCTGTAGGACCTCTCTTCACTTTGTTTCCTTTACAGAAGCTTTTAAATTTGATGTGATCCTATTTGTCCATTTTTGCTTTGGTTGAATGTGCTTGTAGGGTATTACTCTAGAAATTTTTGCTTAGACCAATGTCCTGGAGAGTTTCCCCAGTGTTATCTTGTCAGAGCTTCGTAGTTAGGGGTCTTAGGTTTAAGTCTTTACTCCATTTTGATTTGATTTTTATGTGGTCGGAGATAGGAGTCTAGTTTCATTCTTCTGCATATGGATATCCAGTTTTCCCAGCACCATTTATTAAAGAGACTGCATTTTTTCTCAGTGTATGTTCTTGGCCCCTTTACTGAAAACAAGTTCACTGTATGTGTGTGGATTTGTTTCTGGGGTCTCTATTCTGTTCCATTGGTCTGTGTGTCTCAGTTTATGCTGTACCATACTGTTTTGATTACTACTGTGTAGTATAATTTCAAATCAGGTAATGTAATTACCCCAGTTTTGTTCTTTTTGCTTAAGACAGCTTTGACTAATCTGGGTCTTTTCTGGCTCTATATTGATTTTGGATTTTTTTCTATTTCTGTGAAGAATGTCATTGGTATTTTGGTAGAGATTGCATTGAATTTTTAGATTGTTTTGGGTAGTATGGACATTTTAGCAATATTGATTCTTCCAATCCATGAACATGGAATAGCTCTCATTTTTGGTGCCACCTTCCATTTTTTCAGTAGTGTTTTATAGTTTTTATTATAAAGTTCTATCACTTCTTTGGTTACATTAATTCCTAGGTATTTAATTTTATTTGTGGCTAATGTAAATGGGATTACTTTTTGTATTTCTTTTTCAAACTTGTAGCTGTTGGCATAAATAAATCCTATGGATTTTTGTATGATGATTTTGTACCCTTCAGTTTTACTGAATTTGTTAATCAGTTCTAAGATTTTATTGTGCAGTCTTTAGGTTTTTCCAAATATAAGATCACATAATCTGTAAACAAGGATAATTTGACTTCTTTTTTTCCAATTTGGATGCCCTTTATATCTTTCTCTTGTCTTATTGCTCTAGCTAGGACTTGGAATACTATGTTGAATAACAGTAGTGAAAGTGGGCATTTTTGTTGTGTTCCAGATCTCAGAGGAAAGGCTTTTGGTTTTTCTCCATTCAATATGATTCTACCTGTGGGTCTGCCATATATGGCTTTATTGTGTTGAGGTGTATTCCTTCTATATCCAGTTTTTTGAGGATTTTTATTATGAAAGAACATTGATTTTTATCAAATGATTTTTCAGCATTAATTAAAATGATCATTTGGTTTTATTCCTCCATTCTTCTCTTGATATGATGTATCATATTGATTGATTTACCTATGTTGAACCATTTTTGCATCCCCAAGATAAATCCCACTTGATCATGATGAATAATGTTTTTAATGTATTGTTGAATTCAGTTCGCTAGTTGAAAAACCCTTATAGAGGGTTTTTTCATCAATATTCATTGGAGATATTGGCCTATATATATATATATATATTTTTTTTTTTTTGATGTGGTTTTTTTTTTTTTTTTTTTGAGACGGAGTCTGGCTCTGTCACCCAGGCTGGAGTGCAGTGGCCGGATCTCAGCTCACTGCAAGCTCCGCCTCCCGGGTTTACGCCATTCTCCTGCCTCAGCCTCCCCAGTAGCTGGGACTACAGGCACCCGCCACCTCGCCCGGCTAGTTTTTTGTATTTTTAGTAGAGACAGGGTTTCACCATGTTAGCCAGGATGGTCTCGATCTCCTGACCTCGTGATCCG